AATGTGCTGTCTCCAGTTATAACCTGGGCTGTGTATTTAGAGCCAACAGTAATTGACCCAGAGACCATCTGCTATGTGTCTTGAGGCAAACAAGCCAACATCAGCCGAAACCTCCAACAGATGACACTGGGTGACAAAAGACTAAAACAGCAGTTGGTTGCCATACGAAACAAGGCTTAGGGACGTGTGAAACATATTAGGTATAAACCATTTTTTCCTGAAAGCACAGAATTTATTTTCCAGAGATAATTGAGAAACAGAGGCAGCTGAAGTGGGCACAGCTCTGCCTGGAGAAGACAGCCACAGTTTCATACTGACAGCGGATATGAGGAGCAGAAAGACGAGCTGCCACACTACCTGCAAAGCTGTTGCTGATATTGTGCATATTATTAACAAAGGGAGACAAGGGAGTACCATTTCATTTCACTCAAACGGGAACAAAGGGAAGAGCTGCCTGGGTTGCCATGGTGATGGTTGCATTCCTTGTCTTTGAATCCCTCCTCATCCTTTAGCTCGTAGATAAGTTGGCCATCACTCGGCGTCACACACATCGCAGGTGATTAAAGGGGGAGATGTGAGGGGTGGGAGTCGAAAGCCGACCTTGCCTCTCCTCCACCACCATGTGACTGTTGCTGTAGTCTTGTTTCCCAACTCCCTCATATAGACACGACTGCAATATTAAGACAAAGTGCAAACACAGCACCACAGTGCTAATACAGTACAAAGTCACCTTTGAAGCATAGGTGAGTGTTGAAAGGAAGCTGACAAAGTGAGGAGAGTGAAAACAATTCTGCTTTGTTCTCTTATCTCAGGAAGTCAGGTCCAAAATATATTCAAACGGCAAATCTATTTGGACCCCAACCTGGCCTCACTCCCAAACTTCAGATCTTCTCAGATGTCACTTCAACACAGTTTCACAGAGACCAAAGCATGGCCCTGATTGTGTTTTGCACCGAGAGGCAGTGCTCCTTTGAAAGAAAGAAGAAACAGTAGTGGGAGCTCTGTCAGTGCAATAAGAAACTTTTGTGTCAGTGTTATATTTAAAGGGCTGATATTCAGCAGGAGCCAAGGTGACACAGATGGCACTGGTGTCATTGTGGTGTGAATCTGCCAGCCTGTCCCCGCTTTGTAACAGACATTAAACACGAAGGTATATTTGGAGGGCCAGATTTGTACACCAAAGGGATATTTCTCACGGTCAAGAGAGCAAAGAGGGGCTACTTCAGGTAAGTTGTGTCGAACGCTGTGACGGCAGAAGGCACACTGATAATGAACCACATTCTGAGAGGACACAATTAAAGACATTATAACATACGGTTGTGCAGTTGTGGTTCATCAGTGTATATTTCTGACACTGATTATATCGTGTATTATAATGTTATATCTGCAGCCAGTTTGAATTGACACTATCCACTTCTGTCCGGCCTTTAGAGGACAGCTCAATAATCACAGATATGGTTACTTCTTTTAGGCATTGGGCTCGCATGAAAACAAGACGACCACAGAGTCGGTTCTCTCCCAGTTCTCATTAAGAAAAGCCTCTGAGCCACAGACACATCAAAGTATCCTTGGTGCCTTCACCCAGCTGTAGCAGTGAAATGGGCTGAAGAGGGTGGGATAAAGAGACGCAGGAGGACTGAAACATGCTTTCACAGCAGCTTGCCAAACTGACACTGAACATAAAAGAGATAAGAGCCTGCATTACCTCAGAAAATGACTAAATCATCAAGAAAAGCCTGTGGTGACACCCTAGAGGGGTTTTGCTTTATTGCAAAATGCTGTTCTTCACTGTGCTAAAGAAATCAGGTAGTCTCACAATGTAGACTTCATTTTAAATCCTCAACCTAAAGTTTATAGTTCTCTGTTTCTAAATGTTTTAAACCCTGTCGTTTTCTTTTTACATGTTTTACATCAGAGTTTTTAAAATTTTTTGGCATGGAACAATTTCATGTAAAGTTGGAAATCCTTATATATTCTATTTTCAATATATTACAAAGGAATGATGGCATATTATATAAAAACTAATATCAGTGGTTGACTAGGTTTGAGGTTTCATAAATCGCATCAACATGCTGCTTTTAAAAACTATTTTGGAAAACACATTTCAGATTAAATCAAAGCAGACAACAACTAACTATGACGTGTACATAATTGTTCCTCATGCAGCAGGTAGCAGACTGCAGTCCATCAGGAGAAGTGCTACTGGTTGACAAACAGGAGACATTTCAGTATCTCCCAGCAGTAGCCCAGGTGATGTGTGGATCTGTTTTGGGTGTATCTGGCTGGTTAATAGTGTGTGTCACTGGCCACCAGCTTGACTTATGGCCATTGATCTGCGTGGTGGAGTGGAACGAGCTGCCAGCACTCGGCCTCAATCTTTATTAACGTAGCATGACAAATGATCGATCTATCAGCGCCCGTACAGGCGTATGTGCCAAAAAGATTACACAATGGGGAAAATCAATGCACATGTTGGAAGATAGTGACTAGCGGTTAAAGGGTCAGTTCCCCCAAACAAAGTCCTAGCGGTATTTAGATCAAGTGTACATAAAGTTTGAGTTTATTTAAGTTTTGAGATATCGATATCCTCCATTCAAATACAAAGCAGGTGAATAGATTTTGGTTTCCTGTTATTATCTTCAACAATGACAAAATGTTTCCAATGTTGTTATCTTTGTAATGCAATCAATTTATTGTCCACTGCAAGTAAACACATTTTTGGTTTAGTCTTGTTTTGTTTTCTTCACTGCTAAACCATTAGACGTAAATACTCTGAAACAAGAGGTGGTGGTGTTGAGTAAATGTAGTACCTGTTATGAACAGGCCCTCTGAAGCTAGGGTCAAACTTGCGTGGCTCACCTATAAGAGAAGCAGAGAACAGTGAAATTAGTTAACAAGTCATAGAACAATAATAAAATTCACCGACAGAATGCATAAAGAACACACAGTCGACAAAATGTACCAACTAATATCTAGTTCACCAACAAAATAAGATGAAAGACTGTTTTTATGGTGCTTCTGCTTCCTTGGAGAATGTAATTAAGACCAAAACGAAACATAGAAAAGACAGAGACAATAACACTGGAAGGGTTATGAGCACCATTTCACCAACACTAACACCACATACTATACTAATAAAGCATCACAAGTTAACCTGCTGTGCGATTGGCCAGGACAAACTAGGCCATTTCACAGTGCAGGTCCCCTACAGTAGCAGCGCTGGGATGAAGAAGGATGATCATACTAAACTAAAGCAGTAAAAGCCATTACAATGTAGCTCACACGGAAACACCATAAATCATTTGAACAACTCTTAAACAAACAGCTCATCTGGGTCACAGTGAGGATTCCCTATTTGACCCAGCGCAGTTCATACTCAACCACGGTTACAAACACTATCAGTCATCCAAGGCTAACTCTGACTGCGTGTGCTTGTAGGTGTGAGGGAGCACATTTGCATTCATCACTGGATGCTTCTTTGGGGCCCAAGTAGTCTCTACCCCAGTTGAAACAAATAGTATGACGTGTTCCTGAGGACCTATTAATCATCACACATGGAGTGTAATATCTCCAACCAGCTGGGGCAGACTTAGGGGCAGCATGAGTGGGCCTATCTCCCATCTGCCCATTCCCCAAACTGGTCCAGCCGAGAGATGTATGAGCCAGCCTTGCTTCTAAAAGTGTGAGGAATTAGTACACTGTACTACGTACATGCAAATCTGGTGGGCCTGTTCTGAATGCACTATAAAAAGCCCTTGATTTAAAACGCTTTAAAAGTTTTATTTTGAAGCTTTGAAGTTTTATTTTCACAAATTCAAATAAAAGGGTCAAAACCAACAGCAAATGGATCCTAATAACAGTGTCGGTGCTTGATTTAGCCGATGCCTCCACCCCACAGAGATCCACAGTCTTCCCAAAACTATGAAAAACACATTAAGAGCCATTCTTTTGCATCGGGGGATACAATCAGTCATCACAGTTAACGTGGCTAGTTTAGTTTATTCTGGAACATTTCCACAACTGCATTTTTGATCTCTGGAGAGTAGCTCTCTCTGTTGTGAAGACATCAGTGAACATGTTCATTAACGCAGTTCTGTGTGTAGCGGCTGTAAAACAGTAGATACAATCTTAGATACAATCTTTGGAGCATCACAAATGCTCTAAAATTAGTCTTTTAATCATCAGAATTTGATCCATTCAGTCCCATAACATTTAGAAAAGTCTAGAAGAGAAGTCTGCCAGGACGAATGCTCTCTACTGGCTCGGTAGAGGACTGTAGTGCACATGGATCCTCTGTGGTCTCTCTGGATCCCAAAACACAGAAACATCTCAGTGAGCAACTTTCATAAGATCCATAATGTACACTGAATGATACACTCGCTGAAATGTTAACGTTCATTGATTAACAATACTGAGGCTTTTGTCGACTTGTCTCTCCCCCTCTCACAGACAAAACCAGCACAGTCACATGACATAGTTGACCCTCCATTTTATTGGATAAAGTGTACATGATGGTTTTTTAAACAGTGTTTTAAGAAAATTGAACAACAAAATGCAAAATACTCCAGTTAACTGTAAAACCTGTGCTGGCACAGTGATTATTTTACCATTATAATGGCACCATACGTTGTGAACTCATTGTGGTGTAGATACCGGTCTCACTAAATGTCTTGGTGGTCTGCAGTACAAGTCTCAAGTCCTTTATTTGTCATATGCACAACAAACAGTGAAGCAATCTTTGGCCATGAGAATCTTGTTGTCAGGCTCTCTTCAACAATGCTCATACAATATGTATAAAAGGAAAATCACGCAAATAAATGGGAAAAAAATAATCTAAGACTGTACTGGGTTTCCTGCATAAAGGTCAGTAAATATCCAAATACAGGCGATACTAACAGTAAGTCTATATATATATATATATTATTTTGTATCTTGTAACAGATATATCACACCTATTGAAGTGAAAGAACTGTAGCTGAGCATATTCAAATTTTTGACCATTGTCTGTTGATCATAAGTGTGTAGTGCTCGGACTGGACACAACTGCAACAACACACAGACACAATACGATGAACCCTGTAATACAACACATATATGGAAAAAAAACAGAACAAAAAAAACACTCTCCTCTCTGGCTGGAAACACAACTGATCGAGCACAGCACAGTGAGTTGACGATTGTCTGGCCATGGTCGAGTTCCTGCTGTAAAAGGTTTCTAAAGCCAGTATTTCTGCATGAAGATAAGGTTTTTAAAAAGCCAGGACGTTATACACATTTCCATATGTGAAAGCATATATTCATTCCTGTCACTCCCCAATGGGATCCTGCTACCACAGCAGTGATGATGCCAAATCTCTGACCCAACAGCAAAGTAAACGACTCAGGTGTCCTCAAGCTGCACAGTCAGCAGCAAAACAACACACTGGACCAGAACATCAGTGAACTGGCATTGCCCCATTTCTGCCTTGGTTCATTCTTACAAAGCGTATACTGGGAGTATATTTAGTTACTACATGGGACTGCATGGGTGCAACTCTCCTTACATTCACTTTAAGTGTGATTCTGACCATTTCAGTTCTTTGTCATCAAATATCTTTTGGTACCAGGTCCCTTTTTTATTTTGTCCTTATTGTTAAAAACCCTATTTTCCTGCCATCTGTTTGGCTGTCACTGAAAGTCCCTCACTGGAGTTGTGTTTCAGTTCTAAAAATGGGAGATGTTCTGGGTTAGGTGTGTGAATTCCTCAGCCAAGGACACAATGTCACCAGACCAGGTGCTCACTGCAGCACTTGCAGAGCACTGGCATTTAATATAAGAGGATCCTACTCTGTTTTTCAAATAAGTGGTCTAACACGTAATTATGTATCATACAAACAATCCTGTATAATTCTACCACAAGACACCTGAAGTGAGTCAAAAGCCAAGAACCAGGGCCGAGCCTGCCGACGTACATTCAGCTGAAACATGCAAACTGAAAATAGCTCCATACCACTCAGATTTTAATTTGGGCCTTTTAAAGGCAGCCGCTGTGCACGATGTACCGACAGAGTGAACTATTCCTCTGTGTTGTGTCTTAAGTTGCCTCCAATTGCTTTTATATCTCAGTGGTTGTTGCTACACCCACATCGCCAGCAGGCTGCATCACATTAACTCACATCACAGCTAATTAGAGGTGAAGCTGCTGGGGCTGAGTGAAATACATAGTAGCTACTAGACCAGGCCCAGTGCAAGCTGAATTTATATGGATTAATAAAAACCTTCTGTAAGGGGTATCACGTGGTTTTTAATTGTTGCTGATGACATTTTGGTTCTGTTGTCAGATAATTTGGGCCAATCTGAGGTGATTCTGTATCCAAATACTGATCCAGAAGTAACTTTCAAAATTGTAAAGTTCTGAGCACACTGTAGGTCAGCTGGGAGAGTCCTTGCTGCAGCAGCCATGTGTTTGACCTGCGACCCTTTGCTGTGTGCCCTCCTCTCTCTCTCTCTTTCCTGTCAGCCTTCAGCTATAAAAGATAAAAGCTCCAAAAAATATCAAAAAACAAACAAACAAAATCAAAATTGGAGAGTTCAATGGTTACAAAAACACTTCTGAACCAAGGACAAGATACAATTCATTCTCAAACTGCAGATCTCATTATAGGGAAGAATCCAAATTATAAAAATGCTTATAGCTTCCAAACTGAACTAAACTCATAGCACTTTACCTCTGAGCACACCGGTGACCACATTCAGACTACAGATACAATTGATTAGCCAGTTTATTTGGGCTGAAGTTAACAATACTACAGGCTAGAATACAATGTGGAGGGCAGAGACTTCCTAATATGAGTCAAGAGCTACAATCATTAGGAGTTAGTTGATTTTTGAGAAGAAAAATTTCCAAATTCTCAGATTTCAGCTTCTCATATGTAAAAATGTTCTGGTTTCAATAGTCTCTATAACAGTAAACTGAATATCTTTAGGCTCTGGACAAAACAGGATTTTTGAGGACGTCACCTTAGGCTTTGGAAGAAATAGTGATTATTTTCCACCAGTTTTTGTCATTTTGTGGACCAAAAATAAATGACGGATGAATCATAATGAAAATAATTTTAAGTTGCAGCCCTGTAAAACATTCAAGGGGGTTCAGATTGTCTTCTTTCTCTCAAGTAGAGTTTACTTGTATCTGCTGTTGTTGTGTTTTATTTATTTATGTCTACTTTTGTCGTGAATACCCATTTGTGCAAAGCTCTGAATAGACCAGTGAAGGAAACAATAAAAACTAATTCATTGATCTTCCTCAGTTGCGTGAATACTCAAAACACATGCAGGTCTCCACAGCGCCGGAGCAAATGTGATAAAAACAGGTTAGTCCATATGGTGAGGGCAAGCTGAATCACACTGAGATCAAGGAGAGCGAGTGGTGAGAGGACAGATTGTGGTGCAGTGACTGTCAGGGAGCAGAGCCTTTTCTCAGAGTCATGTCAGTGGTTTCTTGATCAGCCTACTGTTTGAGTTGTGGAGCCTGCCAGTGAGGCCGGCAGCGAGGTCCCCCACAAACTGACCAAAAATGAGGGCATTCATTATGTTGATCAAAAAACAAAACTGTCAATACAGTACGACAGAGGGGACTCGAGAACAAACGATGATGGTGCAGGCATACTCTCTAACAGCAAAAACACTTTATAATACAGTGCACATTAGAAACCCCTTCATTCTCACACAATAACATCCAGGTGACAGAGCGTGTGCTTATTCAGCTCAGCTAAATATAGCTTCAGCGGCTGTTCCCACTCACAGCTTCACTACTTCCACGAGGCTGTCGAACTGTCGTCAGATTTCAATAAAGGGTTAAAAGAGAGTGTTGAAAATCATCA